CTATGAACTATGAAACCACAGTTCTGTGGTCAGGTTGATTGGTTAAGATAGAGATGAGTTGAGCTAAATCTGTTAATTTAATTAAGTTAACTGACTACAAAATATTAAAATTAAAGTAAGTAAAAAGAGTAAAGTTGTATCTAATTGTATCTTATATTATTAAAGTATAATGATGTCATATAAAACTATACACTATTTATTTACCATATTTATACAGATACCAATCATCATCATCATCAGCGTACCGCAGCCCACTACTGGACATAGGCCTCTCTTTAGAAAGGAGGTTTTGGCATAAGTATACCACGCTGCCGCGCTGGCCTGACGGGTTGATATAGTGTTTGTTTCAAGTTTTCCTTGTCTTTGCAGTGCTGTTATCCTGCGTAGTTTGGCCCCTTAGTCGGCTCTTGCGACACCCACGGGATGAATAGGGTGTCCGTATTCTTAATCCGTCACCACACGGACTTATTGCTAATAACAAAACTTTCCTTGATTATTCGGGAATAAAACCATGATATAATGTAGATCTAATGAAAATAAATTACCATTACTATTCATTTACAAAGTACCAACAAGTTTTTTTTTTTTTTAAAGATTTATTGATGATACCAAAATTAAATTTTGCATGTTTTGGGTAAAAGAATCTAAAAATGGCTAAAAACATCGTATTGAGACCGTGATCATCGTGATTTTGAATCGTACGTAATCTTACACATGAGTGATATCTGATTACTCTTATGGTATCTCAAGATAAATTGGAAAGGCTACATAGTTTCAGTTTCACACTCATAAAAGATTACCGATCTTTTACTTGGTAAAGCTCCTTGCATCGGTTTAGTCCGCGGAGTCTGTATAAAATATACAGCATGATCTATCTTCTTTGAGAAAAAGGAATAGGTTTTTGTTTGTTGCTTAATATACATTATATGCAAGATTGCGTAACTATAGCCTACCCCAGATTTAAAACCATGCGTTTTGGAGGATAAAAATCGCAGTTATTCTCTTAGTAGTGTTATCAAGATAATTATTTCATGGAGCATATTAATTAGCCCCATATTTAGTTTTGATAATAATCAATTTACAGTTTTTTTCTTGAACTGTGTGTTGATTACATAAAAAATATCTATGGCGGCATTGCTAGACTCGTATCAGATATAATACCTCACACATCCCACACACGGCTGTCTGATCCCAACTAGGCAGAGCCTGTGCTATGGTAACCAGACTGCTGATAAACATACTTATATATTTTTAAATACATACATATTAAATATACATATTATAGTGTCCGTGTAGGGACGGATTAAGAATGCGGATTGTCACTGGGGTAGTGACAATCCGTATTCTTAATCCGTCCCGTGGGTGTCGTAAGAGCCGACTAAGGGCGCAGAACAACGCAGGACACCAGCACTGCAAAAAGAAGGAAAACTTGACACAAACCCTATACCAACCGTTTGGCCAGCGTGGTATAGTAGTCCAGAACCTCCTTTCTAGGATGAGGCCTATGTCCAGCAGTGGACTATTAAAGGCTGTTGATGTGATGATGTGACATATTATATATAAATTACACCCGGACACAGAACAAATTCAAATTCAAATCGTTTAATTCAGACATAGTCCATAGGGTTAGTACAAACAAAGAAACTTAAGGGCTAAAGTTAGTAAACACAATCAATTATTTTGGTGACCGGTGTGGATCTTTGCCCAGTGGCGCAACAGAGGGGAGTCCCACCGATCCGTAAACACCTTCAGGACACTGTTAGTAGAGGTGTGCAACCGGCCGGCCATGGATGCGGTCCTCTTTCTTAAAATTGCATAAAAGTCGTCTGTGTGCGCCTCCGTAAACATACCGGACGCACTACAACGCCACGACAGCCCCCTCTGCGTAAAACTGGTCCAAAGACTGCACCTGTAAAAGGTCTGGCAGAATGCTTTAAAAAGCGTAACCTTTACTTGAATTATACAGCGTGCAAATCTTCGAACCAGCATGTTACATCGAACAGCCAGCGACCTGCGCTCCCTCTCTATATCTAAATTATCCTTAAGATCATCAGTGACCAAATGACCGTGCTCATCACACAATATTTGTTCTGGTTGTAAATCGAACCCACGACTTCCGCCTTAGCTGTCAGGGTCACTAACTACTAGACCAATAGGCCCGTCGTAAATATGGTTAGGTAGAGATCTCTGTGTGTGGATTACATAAAAAATAATATTTTTGTACATTTATATAATATACGCTACATTAGTGTGATTTACATTCACAATATTTACACGTATACAAATATACATATATACACATGCATACTTATACATATACCCATAAATACATTTTAACTAGGAATAAAATAATAAACACTTTAAACTTGATTCAAATGCAAATAGAATAATACAATTTCAATTTAATTCAGTAGGAAATATAATTAGCAAGCACACATATTAATTTTCTGACATTCGGAACAAACGCACACTGTATCTGGCTGACCATTGTACAAAGGTTACCCTGCACAGTGTCCGGGGTGTTCTCACGGTCGTTGCCACGGCAACCGATACGCGAGCGTATCACAGCCGATATTGAGCGTAATTTGTAGCCTCGTGGTATAACCAGATTTACTGCGTTGTTGATAGCAAATGTTAGGAAAAGTGGAGTAGGAAATGGTTATGAGTAAGCCTCAGTAACACCAAACGATCTATTATCATTATTGTTAAGGTATAAATGTTCTACTAGTAGATAGATTATTCTAATACGACTGGCTCGTATTATTAACTGTCAAATTAGTTACATCTAAGTTAAAAGCTTGTGTTTCAAACTTTCTTTTTTTAATCAACATCCTATGGCTAAAATTACGTTACTGAACATAAAAATAAACTAGGCTTATCTCTTTGTTAATGTCATTCGTTAATTTTTAAGATGCCAATCATGCATGTGTGTATCATCGCAAGACAATCTTCCGGATTTTTCAGTCCCCAATTAAAAAACAAAAATAACGAAAAATCACATCTTGACGGACATACTCGTAACATATTTGACAAGCAACAGCTTTCGTTCACAACGTTATTTTATCCCTTTTAACTTAGGTTTTTTCTTCTTTCTCCTCGTATCTAATTGTTGGAATCCAGTAGGCGCGCGAAGCGTTCGAAGCACGTAATTGTCACAGTCCACTAGGTGGCAGCAATGTGCTTGTCACCGACGCCATCTTTGTTAATTAATGTCACGGGTGCATTGTTACGAGTAGTCATTGTCAAAGTTAATTGAGATAATTTTTGGTTGGTTTTTCTACGTTTTCTTATTAATCAGATTATATAAATTGTGGGTTTTAAAAGCTTTCAAACAAGATACATTGATTTAAGCGTTCCGGCATTGTACCTAGTTTGCATTGCTTAAGTCCTTTCTCTATGTTGTAATCACAATAGAACCCTCCGTTCCTCAAACAGTCCACTCCTGTTATGTCCACTCATACTTTTGCGAATGTCCACTCTTCGTTCCTAATCCAATCTGTCCTCCTCTGGAACGCTCTACCTCTCGAAATCAGGATAGCACATAGTCAACACTAATTTAAGACGAAAGTCCGAGCTCGCATCCAGGATACCCTAGCTGATTCATCACCACCGTAAAGTTTTATATATTACATGTATGTATGTAACTCAGCAAGTATTTATGTATGTGTATTTCAGTGTATGTGTATATCTATCTGCCCCACTGTTTCTGTCCATCTCCTTAATTATAATTATTTTGTTTTTAAATGAAAAACAAAACTTAATTTCTAGTGCACCTGCTCAGACATTTTCCGACCACTCAAAGGTTGACTGGGAGAATATGCCTGTGGCATTAAGTCCTCCATTGTACAATTCAGTTGTGATTTGTGCATAAAGAATTAAAATAAATAAATAAATAAAATTCTGAATTTTATTTGCCAACTAATGAACAAACAGTATTGCTACTACTACTCAGTTTTTCATATTTTACTATCATACCTTTAGTTTTTTTAACTTCTCTAGATATATCTAAATTGCTAGTATAATATGTAACGTGTAAACCCACTAGTTAATTTAATAGCCTGCAAGTATTAGAATAAACTGGACGACAGTTAAGAATTTTAAAGAAGCACTATCATCATTCCTAAGATGTACTTAGCTTCACTTCCGAAATTCCTAAAATACCAACGCGTTTCTAACTAAATCGATACGACGCGACCAATCCGTGTTCGAAAACGAACCAGAGGAAATTGACCTCCTTCACTCCGTTCGGCACTAACAAATACTACTATAAAGAGGTAATTCAACTGTTATTGGAGTTCCTTACTAAGTGGTGATTCCGAACTATAAAAAGATGCTCGATTGAGATAGAGTAAAATGCTTTACAAACCCTTACAAAAAGTGTATGAGGGATTCTTAGAATGCTTTTTGTAACGCAATACAATGATCAACAGTAGTTCCAATAATTTAGTTTGATGATAGCACACTTCGAACACTAGGTAGGATGGTGTATAAAACTATTCGTAAACATTGAACATAATAAATACTTTTGAATTCAAATACTTTTTTTAAAAGAATATATTTTAAAACGGCTCTCGTTTTGTGTGTGTTTTGTTTTGTTTTGTTGTTTATTATATTACCCGCATGATGAGGAACAGTCAGTAAACCTTGTTTTTTTATATCCCTTCCACAGTGGAGGATCCGGCTACCGGTTCCCGGTACACCACCCCTCACAGTGGAGGGACCGGCTCCCGGTTCCGTTCGAGTGCGCCACAGAGGCTTAAATAAATACGTATCTTACGATTACTATGGTTTTTACGTAGACATATTATCTGTAGATGTAGAAACCATGAACGGGGGCGTTCTCTACATCTATTTGTTCTACATCCGTGGTACAAAAAAAAATGAAAAATTCGCTGTTCAATCTGTGGCCTGTTCAGTCAGAGTTTGCTGCGATTGCTGCGAACAACAATAGTTTTGGTGGTGTAATTTTGTAAGTTTTTGGTAATTCTACGTGGAAAAACATGGAACAGTAAGTAATATTTCATTTTATAAACTAACATGGACGTATTCTTTACATTTTTAGTCAAAAACAACCTTTGAAACAACAGCCAAGTCATTTTAAGAATTTGTAGGTGAATTTTGTTTTGTCATATTTCATTGAAAAATTATTAAAACCCAAACAAATATGTGTAATGAGACAACTATTATAGTGAACTTCAATCTAATTATTACAAAATACGTGTATTTTAGTCGCAAATGCAAAAATTTCGACCTCAAAGTTACGGAAACACTCACAGACCGGTTGCCGGTTCCCCCACAGCTAAGTATTTTGCATGACGATATGGCTGCCGGTTGTATAAATATGGATAAGACTTTTGAATTTCATATCAATTTTTTTAATGATTTATTTTTTGTTGTATTTTGTTATATTTTATACCAGTGATTGGATTTTTTGCATAAGCCAATTTCTAGGTTGAACTAATTAATACATTTTTTTATTTTTATCGACAGATAGATTTTTAATTGTTTATTTTTAACTTCTTTTCATTTTGATTGGATTGATTGCTTTTAGCACTTTTAATGTTAACAATTTTTTAACCTTCCGACGACCTCTGTGGCGTAGCGGTAGTGCATTCGACTACCACGCCGGGGTCGCGGGTTCGATTCCCGCTTAGTGCAAATATTTGTATGCATTAATATGACAATTTGCATTGGTCTGGGTGTTTCTATGTATAATATTATGTGTTTTTACAAAAAAAAAAGGATATAAGTATTAGTATCCGTTGTCCGGGTAACACAAGCAGGTCAAGCCTTGATTACTTTGGGACCAAATGGCGCTGTGTAAAAATGTTCGGAAATATTATTATTATTATTTATTTTGCACGCACAGTTTGTTTATGTTGGCTTTGTTTTGCATGAAATAGATCTACTAACAATGCTGAAGGTCGTGGGCTTGCTAGGCGTGGTCGTATGCGTTCACGTGGCGCAAGAGGAGTGCGAACGCGTGGTGGGCAAAGAGGTGGTGGTCGTCTCCCTGGCAGACCTTCGGTGTCTGAACCGTAATAACCTCTTAAAACTTAATTATTAATAATGATTTATATTTTTTAAACTTATTTATCCTTATTTAATATTGTTTTTGGTTTATTTTATTTTCTGTTTTATTTCTTTTTTGATTTATTTATTTGATATTTATTTTAATGCCAATACGTATTTTAGAGTGTTCTCTGGTATGCTGGAGAACCTGCCAGAGGGCCAAGCGTTAGAAAGGCCAATCCGACCTAAAAGGATGAGGGTTCTACCCGCGACGGTGACCATAAACCCATGGTGAGTATTCTGATTGTTTTAAATACTTATATATACATAACAGAAAAAAATCTATGGCTTTGTTTTCAGTTCAGAAACTTTGTGGTCGTCCTTGGAGATGATCACCCCATCAACCTCTCGCGGACAAAATCCGGTGCCCATGCCTGCTGCACCCCTTTCTCAGCATTACTGATTTATTAACAGCACATAAAACACCTGCACCCACCCCAACCATCAGAACATCTGCACATTTGCCAGCACAATACCCCTTCATTAAGGAAGGAGGAAAGGATCGCCTTAGACGCCGATGTGCAGTATGCAAAACCCGTACATACACCTACTGTTCAGCTTGCGAAGTGGCAATGTGTATTTTCACTTGCTACGGGCCATACCACGATTTACACTGACACTACGCACTTTTTTTATCATTATATTGCACACACACACTGTCATACCGCACTTCACACTGACACTATACACTGTTTTTTTATCATTATATTGCACACACACAGGGTATTTGGGCACTAATGTTCAAGATAACTCTAAAAAAAGCTCTGGGTCGGGTAGGTGTTATTACCATCCATATTGTTGTGAAGTACTAGACAAAAATGCTGCATTATGTGTTGGTAGATATTTATTTTATTTATTTGTAGGTATGTTTTATACACTTTTTTTTGTGCATGTAGGCTTTATATTCTAATTCTAATTCAAATAAATCTTTATTCCGTAAAATTTACTAAAAATTTTGGATTACGCGGCATGGCGTGTTATCACTTCTGTCGGGCGTCCCGAGACGCACACGTTTTTTTTTGTCTGTGCTTACCAGGGTCATGTCACCAATGCAACTTGCAATCATTATAGATGGCTCATTCAAATTCAATGTATGTTTGTGTATCTAGGTAGTATCTGGGTAACTATTTTTTTTATAAAACTTTTTTTTCAAGCACACAATCATTAAAACAACTGTTTATTTGACTTGATTTAAATAAAAATAAGTTAAAAAAAAAACAAATCATATTGAATATTTTTATTTAAATAAGTCGCATCCATACTATTTAGCCTTCATGGAGCAAACATGTACATTTTTCACTATGTTTATGAACATGGTTTCTGATATTTTTCTTCCAAATATGTAGCTATTTTCATTGGAATGAATGCCTAGTTCTATGTTAATCTTGAATAATTAATTATTATAACACTTGTAAGCTCATATTTTGCAAAATCTTAGTTTTTATGAGACATTGTTTTTTGTACCAATTATGAGTCTCATATTTGAAACATTCAAACTCAAGATCTGTAGAATATACCAACGTGCCATTGTTTAAACTAGCTTGGGAATAAACTTAAATTATTGTAAACAAAACACGCTTTGTTCCTGATGCCAAGAATGTATTATTATCAAATGAAATATGCGACCCACTTAAGTGGCATTTGAAGAGGGCCTTTTTTGTTCCAAAGTTTAAAAACAAGTGCAGTATAAAAAAAATGTATTAGAACATGTGCTATTTGATTTTTATTTTATCATATACATAATATTGTATAAAAAATATATAATATTACATCCAGCAAGCGTTTTATTTTTTATTAATCAGAATATAAAACTTAACTTCTAGGTAACCCATATTATTTCTCATAGAACAGTTACAATACAATTCAAAGTCAAGTGTAGTGTAGGAAATTACATAAAGAAATAGATTGTATTGATAAAACTAATTGGAGTTAAACCAGATTCCAATTAGATTTAGAGAAAATCAGGATTATCTAAGCCTAGGTCGAGTCTAAACCCTGGACAGTGGAGGAACCGGTAGCCGGCTCCACAGGTAACCCGAATTCCATGTTTTGACAGCTCCACTGCTGACAGGATATCCTTGTTGGTGTCATTTGGGCATTCACCAAATCATATCCAAGTTGAACCACCTCGGGGTGACTCCGATTAGTAATCCTTGTAATAAATCTTTAGACATGTTAATAAGAAGATAAAACCCATACGCACAAAGTAAAAAAGAAATAAAAAATCGCATTTCTCATAGTTGTCCCTGAATCATCAGGAATTTATAAGAAAAAAATGAGGTAGATACGTGAAGAAATTACCAAAAGTAATGCAAACCGGGAATGTCAACAGAACTGAAACATGAATTGTTTTTTTTATTATAACAGGAAAAATGATTATTTTTTTCGATTTGAAAAGTGCTGACTTGAAAATGTCTATATTGTACGTATATACACAATATATGTTTATATTATATATAGTTACTAGCTAACCCGGCAAACGTTGGTTTGCCTTATACATTATTTCTAGGAAATAATGTCATTTAGGGGTATGAAAAACAGATGTTGACCGATTCTCAGACCTACCCGATGTGCACACAAAAATTCATAAAAATCGGTCCAGCCGTTTCTGAGGAGTATGGTAACTAACATTGTGACACGAGAATTTTATATATAAGATATTATCAATATATTGCAACTCAAACTCAACTCTCGTAAATGGGGCCAATATATGTTGATACTTATAAACAGAGGTGTCGGTAACGGTAACAGTGTCGCGATTTCAATAGCTTTTTCCCATCTCTAAAAATACATTATTTTGTTTGTTGTTCAAAAATGTCCAACGCTCTTAAAGAAGTTTTCACTTCAGAACTGTAAATACGTTCAGAGACCTATATCAGTTGGCATAGGACATAAGTTCAAAATTTAGAATTTAAAGATATTATCTGGGAGCTCGGTGATTCTGTAATGCAACAGTATGATTCTATAGAGCTGACCTAATAGTAGAACTGGGCAAAAGAACACTACTACAGAAAATAATCATATCTTATTTGGATTAATAACTAGTACTATGATGATAATAAAGAAGTAAAAAGCTGTGTTATTTTTTGTAAGATTATTCAGAAAAGTTATTTATGTTCAGATAAATTTTGCAGCCCGTAACATCGACAAAAGAAATTATATGACATTAAATTTGATTCTCTCAATTTTCTCATTTGATTTTTGTGTTATCTATTTCACTTATACTCTTGAGTTATTCAATTTGTACTAGTCTGTTATTACACTTTTACGATTATACCGAAGTTGAGATGGATAACAAGCTCCTGCATTGCAAAAAGCCACATTCCACAACAAAAGCATTATACAAGAAAGTTATGACTATCACTATGGAGAATTATAATTCAATCCAATCCAATATCCAACTAAAGTAATCGGGTAATCTCAGGTAAAAATAGCGTATTATGCGTCGGTGGCAGTAAAGGCACGCGCACACTGAATTGTTTTATCCTGCGCTAAAGTATTCAACGCACATTTTACGCTAAACAACCAACAAAACATATGAGATTTCGTAGTGTTGGGATAAGGCATCGATAAAAACGTATATAACGTCATTTCGTTTTTAAGACCAATCGTAATCAAGGAGAATCATATTCTAATTGACTACCGTTTAGTCATTATTCCGAGTAATGTAATATTATTACTAATACTAAATATTGAGTTTATTGAATAATAAATATTGAGTTTTTTTGATATCGTTCATGGATACGACTAGTATATGATTACATTATAAGGGGCAAACGCGGAGACAGGTACCGCAGCCCATGGACCCCTACAACCCAAGAGAGAGAAGATATGGTTGCCGCTTTTGGATGCATGCTCTCTAATATTTAGAAGGGGGGTGGTTGGGCCTCCTCTAACCTCACTCACTCGGTGAAAAACAATGAATGGAAGAATCTCTTAACACGGATTTTCTGTGAAGCTGTGGTATCACTTCGGTTGAGCCAGCATGTACCTACGTGTCTAAACATATCTCTCCCACAAAAATTTCATTACATTGTATTGTCGCCAGCCGATTTACCCCATCCCTAGGTCTAATCGCATAGCGGCGCGTACGGGGTAGCCTTACGTTACGCACACCATGCCACTTTCCATTTCCTCACCGTATTACAATAGCATTTTTATAGCCCCTCTTGTTCTCTGGCCTCTTGAAACAATGCTGCGTTCTGCGTATCAGGTTTTATTTGGCAGATAACTAAATATATTATTGTGAATATGAAAGTTGAAAGAATTCTTAGACTAAGACTAGATAACTAAAATATTATTTATTTAGTTTTATTTATTTATTTACGGTAACGGGCTTACTACTAGAAAATAAAAGTGAACTTGAAAAAACAAAAATAACAAAAGAACTCAGAAGTAGCTAGTAACTAACCTACAACAAAGAATGATTATGCCATATTACATGTACATGTTACTATATATAACATGCATATGTTGTATATATAACATATTATTTTATAACACATATTTTAGTACGCGGCACGGCAAAATTTTTCAAGGACAAATTCGAGCCAACAGAGTTTTAAAGTTTATCCACTCTTAACTTGGGTAACGTAATGGGTAATACGTGGTACGTTATCATCAGGTGCTTGGGCTTCTGATATCTTAGTATACTACTTTAGTATATTTATTAAATCTAGTACGTTACTTTAGTTCATTTAGTTAATAGGGGTTTATCATTAAAAAAACAGCGCTATTTGCGTTTCCGTTGATGGGTGATTACACAAGAGCTTTTGTCAGTCAGTGAAGAAATATAATGACGCTTATTATATATATAAAATTATATATATAATAAGCGTCTTTAAGCCACCAATAAGCAATTCCATAATTATGCAGTCTGTTATGTCTCATACGGGAAAGGCACGTATTTGAAAATAGGAGAGGTAACTGAATTTTGTCTACTAACTTGAATTTGACTTTAATGTGTTAACTTCCTGATGAACATTTTCATTCTTAAAATTTCATCCTTCCAGGTAGAATATTTTCTCCAAATCTTGATAAATATCCTTCGGTTGACGATAAAGAGCTTTAAAGGTAAATACATAACAAAGAAAAAAGGGCATGGTTGCTCAGAAAATGAAGAAATTCGATTAAAACTGGCAGTGGTATTTTTAAATTAGTCTATGTTACTCGCTGATAATATAGCTTTCCTTTGGTGTTTTTTTAAATCGATTTAGTGGTTTAGGCATGAAAGCGTAACAAACAAACTCACTTTCACATTAATAATATAAGTATTGTATCTTTATTAAATCACCACACAGACACAGATAAAACAATGTTTTATATGTGTCAGATAAAAACAATGTTTTCATTACACAACACGCGACATGAAAGAGACTACAAGTTTCGAAGTAAATCTTATAA